AAACATTTTCATTGAACATCAAAATTTCTTTATTCAGTATTAAATTTTGTAATTGAATATCATGTTATATGCTCTCATGTCTTTTAATTCGCTTTCTTTTCTTTGTATCGTCAACTAGTCTTCTTTCAAATCATAAATTTCAGGATCATTACATCAGTCAAAGGAAAAACAAAATTGACACCCACTAAATTTTCACAACTACGACTGTAAACCCTATGATCAGACTTAGAGACGGTCACCTCTGAAAGAGCAACGTGAATCACTAACCATGTAGCGGGCTTGACACAGTCATCCTTGTTCCCATAGATCCAAACATACTCAATGACATAAAAAAAGGCTGAAATCCCAAACAAACTGACAAACCTAACAACATAGACGATAACAAGAGTCCAAATGACAAAAAAATAATAACTAATAGGAAAACTTTCACGGACTCTATCACCTCGTACAACCCATGGCGGTGGTTCCGGAGGAGGACGTATCCTTGGTACCATTCTAATTGACCCTTCATTGTCAATCGTCATCTGACCTGCTCAAAAGCCGCGCAACTCTCCTCGTCCCGCGCTCTTACCAAATCCACCGTTAGATGTCATCTTCATCGATATCATGCCCTTGCTGTTAGAAAAATGATATTAAAGTGTTTGGGTTGATTCAAGACATCGTTGTCTCCAAATTTGACTCAGTTGGGAGCACAATTGAAGGTCTTTCCAAATTTGCTATCAATGGCAAATTGTGCTCCTCCAAAGTGTACGAACTGATTAGAATATAGGGTACTAAACAGGTGTGGATGCCCTTTATTTGGAAAGCCTACATACCACCTAAGTTTTCATTCATTGCTTGGCTTGCTTTCCGCAATCGCCTTGCAAGTTATGATAATCTTAGTAGGCTAGATTTGATTAACATATGTCCTTCTTGCAAGGGTGAATCGGAAACGGTACCACACCTATTCTTTGGTTGACAATTCACAGGTGCAATTTGGAGCAAGGTCAGAGCATGGATTGGAATGCCTAGACAGGTGTCTACCTTGGATAGCTCGGTGAAGCGGATCAAGAAGGACCATGCGGGTGCGGGGATCAAGGCTAAAACAGTCTGAATTGCATTCATCTATACTATATACTGGACATGGAGAGTGCAGAATGTAGTCATATTTGATGATGCCAAAGCTCATGAGGAGGATGTTTTTGCTAGGATCTAATACATGGTGTATAAGATCCTATATAGTATTTACCCCCCATGAACTTATTGCTTTTTGATACCTTATGTCGTGAGATTGTTCACCATTATTGAGTTGTTTTGGGCATGATGGTATAGATCTCGGGTTATGGTATATCCCATGTTGGGATAGCCCCATTTTTGTTCCCTTTTTTTTGCTTTACTTGTACATAAACTCTTTTGGATGATATATAATGACCTTTTATCCAAAAAAAAATGATATTAAAATTGCGAGTTTAACCAGATAAAAATCCCGAGTTTAAACAAATCACCAGACAAACCGCCAAATGCAAGAAAAGAAAATAACAATGATAATGATAATGATAATGATAATGATAATGATAATGATAATGATAATGATAATGATAATGTTAATGATAATGATAATGATAATGATAATGATAATGATAATGATAATGATAATGATAATGATAATGATAATGATAATGATAATGATAATGATAATGATAATGATAATGATAATGATAATGATAATGATAATGATAATGATAATGATAATGATAATGATAATGATAATGATAATGATAATGATAATGATAATGATAATGATAATGATAATGATAACGATAACGACAACGACAACGACAACGACAACGACAACGACAACGACAACGACAACGACAACGACAACGACAACGACAACGACAACGACAACGACAACGACAACAGCAACGACAACAGCAACAGCAACAGCAACAGCAACAGCAACAGCAACAGCAACAGCAACAGCAACAGCAACAGCAACAGCAACAGCAACAGCAACAGCAACAGCAACACCAACAGCAACAGCAATAGCAATACCAATAGCAATAGCAATACCAATAGCAATACCAATAACAATAACAATAACAATACCAATACCAATAACAATAACAATAACAATAACAATAAGGCTAAAGGGTCAAATAGGCCCCTGTACCTGTTCGGAATGCTCAATTCGCACCCCGAACTCAAAAAAGCTCCAATTCACCCCCTGAACTCGCCAAAAAAGTTCAAATCCCATTTTTTGCAGGTGAGTTTCCGGTCATTGCCACGTCAGCCGGTTAGATGCCAACTGCGCATCCCACGTGGAAATCTAAGGGGTCAAATAGACCCCTGAACTCGACAAAATTGTTCAATTTACCCCCTCAACCGTTAAAAAGTGTCCAAATTACCATTAAAAAATAAAAAATAAAAAATAGAAAAATATAAATATAAATAATATACAAGTTCATAATATAAAATATATGAGTCTATTTATAATATGACAATAAATTATTTATATTTTAGGGTAAATTTAATATTTTAAATATTTATGAGTCTAATTATAATATGAAAAAATATTAAAAAATAATAATATGAATTTATAAAAAATGTATGGTTGATTTTTTTAAATGGATTTAAAATATCAAAATATTTTTAATGAATTTGTTTTGTTTTATGTGAATTTACCGCAAAAAATAAGGATATATTTATATTTACAGTAAATTCATATAAAATAAACTAAAAGAAATTCATTAAAACTATTTTCATATTTTAAATATGTTTTAGATTTATATGTAAAATTACACACACACACATGCATATATGTATATATACTTCATATTATTTTATTCTAGAATCATATACTACATACTATACTTCATACTAATTATATGCAACATAAAAATTTTGTACTATATAAAAGTTATAATATGTAAATAGCAAGGGACTACTACATTTTTATAATATGTATTCAAAAAATAAGTACCTTCATTGTGTTTATATATAGGAACAATTGACAAGAATAATCCCACCTTTCAATGGTCTTCTCATAATAATCCCACCTTTAAATAATCCCAAAATAATCCCACCTTTGCACCTCATCTTCTTTCATTGGACCCTGACCAAGTTTTTTACCTTTTTTAAAAATCTTATATAAATAATCTCACATTTATAAGGATATAATTAAAAAGTGAAAGGTGAGATTATTTGTATAATTTTCAAAGAAAGAGTAAAAAACATGGTCATGGTCCAATGAAAGAAGATGAGGTGCAAAGGTGGGATTATTTTGGGATTATTTAAAAGTGGGATTATTATGAGAAGACTAGTGAAAGGTGGGATTATTCTTGTCAATTTTTCCTTATATATATATATATATATATATATATATATATGTTTAATTTACCCTGAAATATAAAAAGAGTAATTTTTTTTTAATTAAAAAAAATCGTAAAATTAAAAAAAAAATTGACTCTTTTTATATTTCAGGGTAAATTAAATACACACACACAAATATATATACATACACACACACACACACACACACACACACACACACACACACACACACACATATATATATAAACACAATGAAGGTACTTATTTTTTAAATACATATTATAAAAATGTAGTAGTCCCTTGCTATTTACATATTATAACTTTTATATAGTACAAAATTTTTATGTTGCATATAATTAGTATGAAGTATAGTATGTAGTATATGATTCTAGAATAAAATAATATGAAGTATATATAGATATATGCATGTGTGTGTGTGTGTAATTTTACATTTAAATCTAAAACATATTAAAAATATGAAAATAGTTTTAATGAATTTCTTTTAGTTTATTTTATATGAATTTACTGTAAATATAAATATATCCTTATTTTTTGCGGTAAATTCACATAAAACAAAACAAAACAAATTCATTAAAAATATTTTGATATTTTAAATCCATTTAAAAAAATCAACCATACATTTTTTATAAATTCATATTAATTTTTTTAATATTTTTTCATATTATAAATAGACTCATAAATATTTAAAATATTATATTTACCCTAAAATATAAATAATTTATTTTCATATTATAAATAGACTCATATATTTTATATTATGAACTTGTATATTATTTATATTTTTCTATTTTTTTATTTTTTATTTTTTAATGGCAATTTGGACACTTTTTAACGGTTGAGGGGGTAAATTGAACAATTTTGTCGGGTTCAGGGGTCTATTTGACCCCTTAGATTTCCATGTGGGATGTACAGTTGGCATCTAACCGGATGACGTGGCAATGACCGGAAACTCACCTGCAAAAAATGGGATTTGAACTTTTTTGGCGAGTTCAGGGGGTGAATTGGAGTTTTTTTGAGTTCGGGGTGCGAATTGAGCATTCCGAACAGGTACAGGGGCCTATTTGACCCTTTAGCCTAACAATAACAATAACAATAACAGTAACAATAACAATAACAATAACAATAACAATAACAATAACAATAACAATAACAATAACAATAACAATAACAATAACAATAACAATAACAATAACAATAACAATAACAATAACAATAACAATAACAATAACAATAACAATAACAATAACAATAACAATAACAATAACAATAACAATAACAATAACAATAACAATAACAATAACAATAACAATAACAATAACAATAACAATAACAATAACAATAACAATAACAATAACAATAACAATAACAATAACAATAACAATAACAATAACAATAACAATAACAATAACAATAACAATAACAATAACAATAACAATAACAATAACAATAACAATAACAATAACAATAACAATAACAATAACAATAACAATAACAATAACAATAACAATAACAATAACAATAACAATAACAATAACAATAACAATAACAATAACAATAACAATAACAATAACAATAACAATAACAATAACAATAACAATAACAATAACAATAACAATAACAATAACAATAACAATAACAATAACAATAACAATAACAATAACAATAACAATAACAATAACAATAACAATAACAATAACAATAACAATAACAATAACAATAACAACAATAACAACAATAATAACAATAATAACAATAATAACACACCCATGAATCGCCGTCAAAATTCCTCGATGAAACCACGTTTGGTGGCGGCTCTCACAAAGTTCCTAGGGAGCGAGAAGCCTATGGCTTCCACAGTTAAAAATCAATACTTTTTTTTATCATCGAAATAAAGCCTTTTATATCATGAGTTTCAGGATCATTACATCAATCAAAGGAAGAACAAAACTGACACCAACTACTAGACTCCAACAATTACGATTGTAAATGCTATGATCAGACTTAGAAACGGTCACCTCAGCAACCCGAATCGCTAACCAAGTAACAGGCTTGACACGTCCATCCATGTTCCCATAGATCCAAACATACTCAAAGACATAAAACCAGGCTAAATTCCCAAACAAACTGACAAACCTAGCAACAAAGATGACAACAAGAAATCAAATGACGAAATAATAAAAATTTATTGGAAAACTTTCACGGACTCTAGCCTCTCGCACAACCCATGACGGTGGTTCAGGAGGAGGCCGTTCTATTGGTACCTCACTAGTTGATCCTCCATTGTCGATCAAACGGTGGCCTATTCAAAACCCATGCAACTCTCCTCGTCCCACACGTGATCCCCAATAACCACGTGCAGTCATCATCTTCACCGTCATGCCCTACAACTCTCACACCGCAAACCTCATGGCCGCTACACTAACTATTTCGGAAAACTTCAAACCAGAAGATCGCCGATCCCAATCCCCTTAGCTTGATAACCCTTCGAACCCTTCACCCGTACTAAACCCTTCGTATAAGTTCTCGAGTCAAGAATCAAGACCGAAACCTTCTCCTGACCCGCCTGACCTGTTCGGACAATCTCCCTCCTCAGCCCGTAGTCATAGCGAAGTCGTTCCAGGTTGCTCAATTTACTAGCCGATGGACTGATGGAACCTGGGGACCCAATGTTGACTTTCAGTTTAATTCAACAAAAGGAATTGATAATCTGTAAACTTAATGTCAGGCAAATCCCGGACGTACGTCAAGTGTATCTACCCTCCGTCGAACGGCCACCTTCGGCATGCAGCGCCGCACGGCCCCGCTGCCTCCATGTTTTCAACACACAATAGGGGTCAACTTGGGCACCATGTTGCTCGCCGCCCGACAGCGTAATCTACCCCGACAGCTGCTCGTCCCCATCTCAAGAATACCCAACTAGCCGGTCCATCAGAGGACTCCGCTCCAAGCCTGCATTGCAGAAGCCGTTCAGCTCTGGCCGTCTGGCTCATATACGCCACCGGGCTCTCATCGCCATACGGTTCCTAGACCGGCCTCAGCTCGGACGACCGCTAAGGCCAGCTGATGCTCGCCTCACCTTTCGCAGCTCGTCCATCACCGGCGGCTGCACATTTTTTGACGACGCTCGGTGGCAAGGCCTGTGGTAGAAGAGCGTAATCCCCTCTCAACGCGGCTAGTGAGCCAGGCGAAAGGTTGAAGGAAGCCTGGGCCTATGATCGCTAACGTTGACTAAGTCAAATTGACAATGGGGAGCAGATCTGACTTCCAATCTCCTGGCCGAGCGTATATCTTGAAGCCTGTAAAGGCTATCACTGTGGCAGAACGTCTATATCAAAGTTTGGAACTTGGGAAACTCATAGCTAGAAAATTTTGTCCAAGTCAAAATTGCCAAAAGGAACCAAATCAAGCTTCGTAAAATCCCAACTGGCCGAACGTCCATCGATCTCCAAAAGCTAAGTACCCCATACGATACATTTAAATTTTGATAGTGAGTAGTATTATTATTTGCTATCACCATTATTTATTAGGGATTAAAATGTCCCGAAATAAATATTGGCGAGCGAAGCTCGGGGATGAGCTTCCACCGACATTTTAATTTAATAATTAGAGGCTGGGTGACGGGCAAAGCCGAGGGTCATTGTACCTGACCGGGCTGAACTTGCAAGTGTACAAGTGCCGATATAGTAATAATTTCCGGTAAAATACCGGGTCGAATCCACAGGGAAACGTTGTTTAATTTAGTCCGAGAGTAGATAACTTTAAATAAATAAATGAGTAAAGTGCAGGGATTTTGAGTTGTGTGTTGTTGTGAAAACAACAACTTGATTCTTCTTTTTAATTTTCAGAGATATAACTTAAATTAATTTGATTAAAGTGATTGATAACAACAACTAAGGCTTCGGGAATCACTTAAATGCTTTAATAGGGTTGAATATTAGTTCTTTACCAAAAATTATGAATACGATGTCGCTAATATATTCTCAACTCCGGTTAAGGCAGCGAGAGCGTGGTTTTTGTTACGTGTAAGTCCCGTTACGGCTTACACTCATCTACCGAAAACCCCGTTGAATATCAAGACATCACACCCGTATCATATAATACCGGATATATTTCTATTCTCGGTAATATATATGTTTATCCTTTAATGTTCATAGTTTAGACCTCAACGTTAATTGCAAGCATAAACTAAGTTTAACATACTTCTATGTTGTACACCATAGTCATAAACAATCAAAATGTAAAGGATAAATCACAATTTATTGGTTTAGAACTTTTATCAAACACCTAGTGGGCATAGAAGTTCATCCCTAGCCTTAGCTAAGAACTTAGCCTCTAATGCTCATATTAATTACAAAAGTGTAACTAAGATAAAGGAAATACAATAACATACAAGAAATAATACCTAGAACCAATTGTAGAGGAGAGAAATGGCTTCTTCTCCAACACTTCAAGAAAATGTAAAAAGGAAATATAAAAACTGAATTTTTAGCTCCAAAGATGGAATGATGCTCTTGTTTGATGAATTGGGGGCTTTATATAGGCTAAAGATTGACATATATTAGTCTATTCGAGCCCAACAATCAAGCATGGAAGATATATTTGATTAGCTCATGAGGAAGGTGAGTTTTTTCCATCAAAATATTTCAGCACGTTCTTTTGTATTTGCAGGATCAGACCTACCCGGCGCCGGGTTCAGGCCTACCCGGCGCCGGTTCTTCATTGTGCGCAGGGAAATCTGAAATTTTGGCCTACCCGGCGCCGGGTATAAGGCCTACCCGGCGCCGGGTAAGCTACTGGTTTGTGTACATGTGAAAATCAACAAACGGGCGCCGGTTTGGTGCAAATTCCGGTGCCGGTTTTGTCCTGGGATTTTGGGGATGTTCCGCTACGAATTTGGACATGATTCCTTCACCAAAGTTGTAGATAATGAAGTCTTCTATCCAACAAAACTTGAATGACATGATTTTATTCAGCCAATCAAGAGATATGGATAAAACACTGAGAGGTATGCATCCTGAAATCCCACCAGCAACATCTGACTTTGTTGGTTGATTGAGTCTTGTTCCTTTCATATTTTGGTCATGACGTCTTCATAACATTTGTACCTTATTGAGTTAGCATTCACATGAAACTCGAATCGAGTGATTTCGAGTTCTATAGAATACGTTATACTCAAATTATGGGCAAAACGTCATTCTCTTGGTCCAAAAAGTCGTTCATCGCAATGTTTTATGATCAAGCTCTCATTCTGGAGGTATTTGCCTGATTTCTCTTCTTTTCTTCAACAAATACTTATAAATACTTATGTTAAACACAAGTAAATATAACGGCTATCAAATCCCCCCACACTTGAGCATTGCTCGTCCTCGAGCAATTTCTTCACCTTGGATGCCTTGGTTAGTTTCAACAAAAATATATGCACAAAAATAATTTTATTTTTAAGGGAGGTATAAAATTATGTAAACTCCTTTATCATTCTCGGTCTAAAACCAAATTTCTATTAGACACACAAAACTATCATTAGATTTAGAAAATTTACTTATACACTTGAGAGTAGATGAGTGGATTGTGACTAGGACTTTTTTGGGTGTTTAGGATGGCTTTTTGGTGGATTTGACTTTTCAGTGTAGAATTGGATCAGTTGGAATTCTTGGAAGAGACCATGAGTTTTTTTTTTATAACTCATTTGAATTGGTTCTCAACAAGTATTTTCTGAAAGTCATTTTGATGATCCCAATTTATTTGATGAGACATGAGGGTGGCTTGTTTTCCAAAATGGTTCTTGAATATTCGAGATGTACTTAAACCATTTTTGGACATGGAAGAAGATGATGTTTCCTAGTCACAAGGTTTATTTTGGGAATGGTTTTCAAGAGTAAAAGTAGTGTAATAAATCTAAAAAAATGATAGTTTATGTGAATAATAAAAACTTTCTCAACCAAATACCCATTAAAAAGAGAATTATCACAACTTCTACCTTCCTAAAAAAATATTATTTTGCACACAAAATTTGTTTAACTAACCATGAGATACACCCCCCACACTTGAGTTACATTGTCCTCAATGTACATTGGAGGATTCAATGGAGGATGAAATCTTCAATAGCGGAATGGGCCGTCTTGTGAGAGTAGGAGATGCATGATATCTGAGCTGAGATCGATGATTTTTTTTTTTGTTTTTTTTTTTGTTTTTTTTTGTTTTTTTTTGTTTTTTTTTGTTTTTTTTTTGTTTTCAACTATAAATAAATATGAATATGTATTTAACTAAACATATTTATTTATAATTGAATTTGTTGGGTTGCCTCCCAATTAGCGCTCAGTTTAACGTCATAGGCCGGACGCAACGTACCTTTTTACATGTGAAGATGTTTGATGAATGTTACCTTTTTGAGATCGTGGGGAGGCCATGGAGTTGTCCGTCCATTCTTTTCATTCCCGTGGTGTGTTTGAGGACTCTCAGGCCTCAATATTTGTGCCTTCATGATGTTTATGGCCTTGGGAGGGATGAAAGGATTTGTGTTGACCTCCATGTTTTGAGTTGGTATGGATTGTGTTTTCCATACATGGAATGTTTCATTGTCTCCTCCCACTCTTAGCTTTACGGTGCCCGCTTGCACATCAATGATGGCTGCGGAAGTGGCCAAAAATGGTCTCCCAAGGATGACGGGAACCTCAATTTCTTCCATGTCTAAAACAAGAAAATCTACCGGAAAGTAGAATTTTCCTACTTTGACAAGGACATCCTCCATGATGCCTATCGGATAGCGGATTGTTCTATCCGCTAATTGCAAAGCAACCGTTGTTGGTTGGAGTTCCCCCACACTTAGCTTTTTAAATAGGGAGTAGGGCATGAGATTTATGTTAGCTCCAAGGTCACAAAGAGACTTTACCTCCCCGACTTTTCCGATAGAGCATGGAATAGTGAAGCTTCCGGGGTCTTTTAGTTTTGGAGGAAGTTTGTTTTGAATAATAGCACTACATTCCTCCGTTAGTGCCACAGTTGCGAATTCCTCTAACTTCTTTTTGTTGGAGATGATGCCTTTGAGAAATTTTGCGTATGATGGAATCTCCGCAATGGCCTCCGCAAAAGGTATGTTGATGCTCAATTTCTTGAAAATATCAAGAATTTTCTTGTGTTTCTTCTCATCTCCTTTCTTCTTCAACTTTTGTGGATAGGGGATGAGAGGAACATATTGAGGCATAATAGGTGCCAACGGTGTATGTGAAACCTCTTCTTGTTTCTCCGGTATCTTTCTTCTCCCCGACATCTTGGGGTCCTCCGTTTGTCTCCCACTTCTTGTGGTAATGGCCATGACGCTCTCCCTCGGGTTTACCTCCGTAGTTGTAGGGAATTTGCCTTGCTCTCTAGAACTCACTTTTTTAGCGAGTTGCCCATTTGAACTTCAAGATTCCGGATGGACGCCTTGGTATATTGTTCGATGGTATCAATGCGTTGGTTGAGCTTTATATTTTGATCTTCAAAGCGAAGATCCAACTTGTTGAATTGAGAGTGGAGATTCCCAATGGATGCCTCCACTCTATGGTGGTTTTCCTCATTTCGGGCCTTCATGCTCGCCATGCTTTTGGACATGAATTGCATCATATCCTCCATGGTAGTCTCCTTGGGTTGCCCAAAATTAGGTACTCCGGATTGGGGTTGTGAGGAACTAGCTTGTGGCTTCCACCTTTGTTGATTTGAATAGTTATTGTTCCCCCGATTCCCATAAGAGTTCATATAATTTACCTCTTCAAGTTGTTGAGATAAATCACTTTCCGGGCTTGGTATGCTCTCCACGTTGGCTATTCGTTTGACTCCTCCCAATACGGCTTGTAGAGCCGTTTGGAACTTTTGCTCAATCTTCGATTCCATTTCTTCAAGCCTTTTGTTTATCTCCGTCGTGATAGAGATTTCATTAATCCCGACCACTTTGTAATCACCTCCTTGGAGTTGAGGATTCGAAGCAATGGATTCAATGATTCGGAGTGCTTCAGTTTCATTCTTTTGCCAATATAGCCCTCGGCTCGGTTGTCCACAATGGCTTGACAAGATGCATTCAAGCCATTGTAGAACGTGTCAATTTGAAGGTCTAGGGGAATGCGGTGATGTGGGCATTCCCTTAGCAATGATTTGAAACGCCGCCATGCATCTTGAAAGAGCTCACCATTTTGTTGTTTGAAATTGAAAATGCGTTGTCTAAGCTCTTGAGTCATGGTGGGCGTGTAGTATTTAGACATGAAGGCATTGTATATACCTTCCCATGTTGTGTAGCTTGCCGGAGCTTGCTCTAGGAACCATCCTCTTGCCGCCCCTTTGAGAGTATAGGGGAAGCATTTGAGCTTGAGTTGATCCTCCGCCAAGCCATTTCTAGGGATTCCTTGAATGAATCCGTAGAACTCCGTGATGAAGTTGAGTGGATTTTCCCCAAGCAAACCATGAAAATGAGGCATAGCGTTGAAGTAGCTTTGCCTTAGCTCATAGTCTCTTGCTTCCTCGCTCAAGGTGATGCAAGACGGCGTAGCGGCCACCACGGGTCTCTTCCTCTCATTCAAAGTTGGCAACATCTTTGTAGCTTTTTGCTCCCTTCGAATGTGTTTGCAAGTTTTTTCTATTTCAAGATCAAGTGGTTCAAGAATTTTAGAACCTTGACCTCTCAATTGCATGCAAACACAAGGGAATATCTACACAAGAAAAAAAATCCTTCCAAGATCAAGTGAAGTTGTGAAAAATAAATTCAGGATTTTTGATTGGTTGATTGTTTGGACTTTATTAAACAAGACCGTTTCCCCGGCAACGGCGCCAAAAACTTGACCGGGCTGAACTTGCAAGTGTACAAGTGCCGATATAGTAATAATTTCCGGTAAAATACCGGGTCGAATCCACAGGGAAACGTTGTTTAATTTAGTCCGAGAGTAGATAACTTTAAATAAATAAATGAGTAAAGTGCAGGGATTTTGAGTTGTGTGTTGTTGTGAAAACAACAACTTGATTCTTCTTTTTAATTTTCAGAGATATAACTTAAATTAATTTGATTAAAGTGATTGATAACAACAACTAAGGCTTCGGGAATCACTTAAATGCTTTAATAGGGTTGAATATTAGTTCTTTACCAAAAATTATGAATACGATGTCGCTAATATATTCTCAACTCCGGTTAAGGCAGCGAGAGCGTGGTTTTTGTTACGTGTAAGTCCCGTTACGGCTTACACTCATCTACCGAAAACCCCGTTGAATATCAAGACATCACACCCGTATCATATAATACCGGATATATTTCTATTCTCGGTAATATATATGTTTATCCTTTAATGTTCATAGTTTAGACCTCAACGTTAATTGCAAGCATAAACTAAGTTTAACATACTTCTATGTTGTACACCATAGTCATAAACAATCAAAATGTAAAGGATAAATCACAATTTATTGGTTTAGAACTTTTATCAAACACCTAGTGGGCATAGAAGTTCATCCCTAGCCTTAGCTAAGAACTTAGCCTCTAATGCTCATATTAATTACAAAAGTGTAACTAAGATAAAGGAAATACAATAACATACAAGAAATAATACCTAGAACCAATTGTAGAGGAGAGAAATGGCTTCTTCTCCAACACTTCAAGAAAATGTAAAAAGGAAATATAAAAATTGAATTTTTAGCTCCAAAGATGGAATGATGCTCTTGTTTGATGAATTGGGGGCTTTATATAGGCTAAAGATTGACATATATTAGTCTATTCGAGCCCAACAATCAAGCATGGAAGATATATTTGATTAGCTCATGAGGAAGGTGAGTTTTTTCCATCAAAATATTTCAGCACGTTCTTTTGTATTTGCAGGATCAGACCTACCCGGCGCCGGGTTCAGGCCTACCCGGCGCCGGTTCTTCATTGTGCGCAGGGAAATCTGAAATTTTGGCCTACCCGGCGCCGGGTATAAGGCCTACCCGGCGCCGGGTAAGCTACTGGTTTGTGTACATGTGAAAATCAACAAACGGGCGCCGGTTTGGTGCAAATTCCGGTGCCGGTTTTGTCCTGGGATTTTGGGGATGTTCCGCTACGAATTTGGACATGATTCCTTCACCAAAGTTGTAGATAATGAAGTCTTCTATCCAACAAAACTTGAATGACATGATTTTATTCAGCCAATCAAGAGATATGGATAAAACACTGAGAGGTATGCATCCTGAAATCCCACCAGCAACATCTGACTTTGTTGGTTGATTGAGTCTTGTTCCTTTCATATTTTGGTCATGACGTCTTCATAACATTTGTACCTTATTGAGTTAGCATTCACATGAAACTCGAATCGAGTGATTTCGAGTTCTATAGAATACGTTATACTCAAATTATGGGCAGAACGTCATTCTCTTGGTCCAAAAAGTCGTTCATCGCAATGTTTTATGATCAAGCTCTCATTCTGGAGGTATTTGCCCGATTTCTCTTCTTTTCTTCAACAAATACTTATAAATACTTATGTTAAACACAAGTAAATATAACGGATATCAGTACCCCGAGGCCGACCGTCACACCCGGAAGAGCCCCAAACCGACTTACAAAAAAAAGAGGTGTACACATATACATATTGTCCATCCATTTGGCTGCATTACTATGCTCATTGTGGAGATAAAGATAATAATCAGAACAACCGATAACAGATGATGCTCAGAATGAACCTTGGTGCCAAGGGCCTAGAGATGAACTTCTCCACCCGGAGGCCGAGGGCCCAAAGACTAACGTCTTTCACCAGCACGCCTAAGGCTTGGAGACGAGCATCTCCACCCCAGAGGCCGAGGGCTTAGTGACGAGCATCTCCACCCCAGAGGCCGAAGATCTAAAGAAGACCATCAGGCCGAGGGCTTGAAGACGAGCATCTCCACCCCAGAGGACGAGGATCTAAAGAAGACCATCAGGCCGAGGGCTTGAAGGCGAGCATCTCCACCCTAGGGCCGATGATCTAAAGAAGACCATCAGAGGTAGGGATTTTTACCTACATAAGACGATCATCCCCACCTCAGAGGTAGGGATTTTTACCTACATAAGACGATCTTCCACCCAGTGGTCAAGGGCCTGGGGACGAGCATCACCACCCTACAGGCCGAGGGCCGGAGACGACCATCTAGCATCCAAAGGTCAAGGGCCCGAGGATGAGCTTCTCCACCTGGAGGCCGAGGGTCGGGAGACGAGCTTCTCCACCCCGGAGGCCGAGGGCATCGAGACGCACAGCACATCCTGAGACCGAGTATGCCCAGGCTGAGCATGTTGAGGTAGAAATATCCCAAGGAAGCCCAACCTAGCATCTGGAGGTCGAACCTCTCTAGGAATAGGCCGAGGATTGTCGCTGAATGACGACTCCGAGAGCTGCAATTGGGGTCGTGCATCAAAAGCAAAGACACATCTAGGCCGAGCTTCTAGGGACGAACGCCCAAAGGAAGTCGGGTCGGGTTTCTAGGGACTAATCTTCCTAAGCATGTTGGGCTGAGCATCTAGAAGGAAGATTCTCGAGCCCCAACAACTAGAGTTCGAGCGGGCTGACCATCAAGGGGCCGAACGTCCAAGAAAACCCAGCGTAGCATTTGGAGGTCGAACGTCTCTAGGAATAAGCCGAGGATTGTCGCTGAATGACGACTCTGAGAGCTGCAACCGGGGTCGTGCATCAAAAGCAAAGACACATCTAGGCCGAGCTTCTAGGGACGAACGTCCAAAGGAAGTCGGGTCGGGCATCCGTGGTCCGAACGCCCCAATCCTTCGCACCTAGGCGAAGGTATTGTTAAGCTTTTGCTCCGAAAGACGAGGCCATGTGCAAAGAAGGCAGAGGAAGAGCGTAGGGCAAGTATACTTTCTCAAGCAGATTCGCACGCTCACTACTCAAGAAATTGGGGGACTTGTGTTGAGATATATTATCCTGGTCCGTTACTGTTCGGGAGCCCAAGATTTTACGAAGTACGGAGCCCAGTCAGCGAGGCCCGTTTTTAGCCTTGCAGGCCTGTTTCGGCCTTTGGGCCCATTTCGGCCCACTTGGCCCATTAGGGTAGGTTTTCCCCTACTCCTTTTCCCCTATAAATATGGGGTTTTCCCACATGTTTAGGGATCCTTTTTTAGCTTCTTCTTCCTTATTTCTCTCTAGCTAGCTCAATACTCCATTAATGGGAGCTTGTACATTGTAGTAGTGAGGAGAGTCTTAATGAGAAAGAGAGGGCTTGGACATTAGCCTAAAAAGTCCCGTGGTTTTCTCCCTTTTGGGTTTCCACGTAAAAACCGAGCTTGTTCATACACATTTATGCATATATTTACTATATCGTGTTGGATTAAACCTCAACACCAATGAATAATGGTATAACACTCCATATGTCCCAATGGACATTGCACACTTTGAATTAGGTGGGAAATAAAAATAGTAAATATTGTGTGCATGAAGTTTGTGTAGAAGAGAGATTATTAGGTAATAAATAGCCAGAGGGAGTAATTTGTTGATAAAAAATTCTGAAAAATATATTTAAGTGCGGTGCACGGGACATAGATTAAGTAGTAGATACATCATATTATTTGTTAACATTATTAGTTAATTTGTAAATCAATGTAAAGAGTATGCACACAAAAAATTATATCCAATGAATAATGAGAATATTACCCGAAATAGGAGTAAAAAAGTTTGAAAATTCCAAAATAGGACTTCCATGTTTTTATTCCCAAAATAGGACTAATTACTGCCATGTTTTGGCAGTACCAGACTTCAAACATGACAATATTTTCCAAACTTAAAAGTAATTACTCCTATTTTGGGAATAAAAACATGGTAGTCCTATTATGGAATTTTCAAACCTTTTTAGTCCTATTTCGGGAAGTTTGTGTAGAAGATAGATTATTAGGTATTAGGTAATAAGTAGCCAGAGGGAGTAATTTGTTAATAAAAAATTCTGAAAAGAATATTAATACGAAGTTGTAACGCTTGAGATTAATTTAAAAGGAATTAATAGTACTACTCATACCAACAGAGGTGCATCTCCTTTTAAGGGAGCTCATCATCTAAGAACTCCAATTTAAGTGTGCTTGCACGAGAGTATTCTTGGGATGAGTGACCCCTTGAGAAGTTTCTCAGGGCGCGCATGTGTGAGGACAAAGTGCGTGGTGAAAGTTCGTGGTGGTTTGTGAGGATAGTAATAGAGGTCTGGAGTAATTACCTCGGGTCCTGCGGGGCCGGGGTGTTATAGGTGGTATCAGAGTAACCCTGCGACAGTGTGTTGATCCGTTGGATATCAGGCGAGCACTTAACAGGGGATGATTCTGGGATATGATTGAGATTGAATTGGTAGGACGCAACGAGGACGTTGCGATCCTAAGTGGGGGTGATTGTAACACTTGAGATTAATTTAAAAGAATTAATAGTACTACTCATACCAACCGAGATGTGTCTCCTTTTATAGTACCAGAGGTCTGGAGTAACTACATCGGGTCCTGCGGGGCCGGAAGTGTTACAGTAGTACTATCTTCATTATCTGGTAAATGGGAATCAATTTTAAGATTTGTTTAATGCTATGCTTTTAAAACTTTGTACTGAACAAAAAAATGATGCGAACATTTTTAATTGGCCGAAGTTGTGTTAAAAATATAATCACTTGATTGAAAGGGAAATGGCAATCAATGTCAAGAGATCATAATTGTACTTTAGTGCTGTGCTCTGAATATAACAACTATCATGCTGACAAAAGATTAATATGTACTCCGTAGTACAACTTGTGCATTTAATGACAAAAAACAAAATTAGAGGGCTGAACCCTTCAAAAAAAAAACGACTGGAATTCATTTTTTGGCCCAACGCATGCAATACATGGACCCACATTTACACTTGACGGTGACATTTTTAGGCGGGAAAAATTGGCCAAATTCCTCTTGCTTTTGTATATAGATAGATATAGTTATATTCAATCTCAAGATCCCTTTCTAACATTTGCTCTGAGCGTGAATTGGAATAATTATGAGAATTTTGAATACTTTGAATTATGGCCCTGAGATGCCTATTTTGACGGAAAATGACCCCAAATGCTTCTTTGCTCCATGTCTTACTATTACATGTTGTTTCATGCATAGCTTGTTCAATAACATCTTTCTTAGAACTCCACGAGCTCACAAAAAATTGCTCCAAAGCACTATGTGTTAACCAAGCAGCTTCGAAACATATTGGACAATCAATACTACTTGAGAACATCATTGGATGGTGATCAGAGTGGTGGCAAGGCAGATTAAACACTTTCCCTTATAGAAAGATCATGAGAGCTTCCTCGTTCCACACTGCTCTATCCAAACGTTTCTGAAGGGTCACTTGTTATCCTTCTCGTTTGACCCACGTACGTAAAGGGTGCCCCTTCCGTTCCCACATCGTAGAGATCACAACTACTGAGTTGATCCCTGAACCAGTCCATAGCATTCCACAAAATGCTTCCACCACACTATTCTGATGCCTAAAGAGTAAAGAGTACTATTGAAATCCCCATAGCAAGCCGCAGACCAGAATGTCTCGTTCTGAACTCCCTCAATTCTCTCCAACATCTTTCCTTAGCTGCCTCTTTAGGGCAAATAATGTATAACAGAGAGCAAATAATACTAAATGCATTCGACTTCGCATTACAATGGAAAGCTTGAGTTGCTTTTTCTATGACAGTGAGCTCCACCTTATTGGGATTCCATAGGAGGAGGATACCCCCAGCGAATTGAAACACAACGGGGGAATACAATCCCAACCAACCATTGCAAGAGATTTAGCCATACTAACCATCCTTTGAGAGTTGGCCGACTTAGTTTCAAACAAGCCTAAAACATGAGGATGATGCATCACGATAAGCTGCTTAACATGACATATGACACACTTATTAACAGTCCCTCGACAATTCCAAGTAAGCACTTTCATAAGGAGTGATTAGATAAGGCGGAAGTTGAAAGCTCCTTAGAACCTACATTGGTATTAGGGACCATGTCCATAACTAGCTCCTCACCATCTCCTTGCTCTCCCTCCGTAACTATGTTCATGTCTAGGTCATGTAAGTCCTTCCTTTTCAAACCCTTGATAGCATTTGTTGACTCCCCCGTTGGCTGGTTTGTGGAACCAAACTGGAAAATACCACCATTTGTTAGTCGAATGATATTCTCATATGATCTAAAGCTTATGCAATGTGTGGGGATATACATGGGCAACCATTTGTACAAAAAACTTTTTCATGTTAAGAATTGATGTAGGTAGACACAAACATTTCACGTCGGTTACTCTTACCCTTTCACGACGGGTTTTCAAGAGATGAGGAAAGTAGAGACGTAATAGGTATGAACATTTCACGTTGGTTCCATAACTGACGTAAAAACTATTTTTTAAAAAATATTAAAAACATGTCAGTTTTCAACGGAAACCAACGTTGACAGTGATCTCTATATATAAATAAATAAAACTTTTTGCGTCAGTTTTTTCCGAAACCGACGTTAAAACTATATAATAATAAAAATACAATAACATCATTTGTGTGTATAACCAATGTTATATTCATTATTAAAATTAAAATTTTTAAAAACAATGCATCAAAGACTATTTTAAAATTGACAAGAATAATCCAACTTTAACTGGTTTTCTCATAATAATCTCACCTTTACGTAATTCCAGAATAATCCTACCTAGGCACCCCATCTTCTTTCGTTGGACCCTGACCTGTTATGACCTCCTATACCAGGTTTTTTACCCTTTCTTTGGAAACCTTATTCAAATAATCTCACCTTTCACAAATCTGCTCAAAATGGTCCCATTTTTATTATTTATGTTTTCTCCCTAAAATTTTTCTTTCTTTATTTTCATCCCTAGACACTTTTTCTATCCTTTTGTTCTTATTTCTTTTCCATTTTTATCATTCTATTTCTCACTTTATTAGAAGAGGGTTTTTTTTTTTGTAAAATTTCTCTGCAAAATAGCTCTTTTTTGTCGTT